GGGGGTAACCGTGAAATGTATTCTATCATCGATTCTTACTTGCTACAGTAGACCAAAAACCCCCATGTTTTCTTTTTTTTTAAAATTTTAGACAAATTAATGTTCGGCATGACTTTTTCTTTGATCTTGTGAGCTACCATTAAATATGTTTAAAAAAATTTTTTTTCTTTTCAGTCATCAAGAAAACTTGCCAAACCGGAGATGGGGTTCATTTCGACAGTAAGTGATTTTCATTTCTTTTTTTTACCTCTACATTTAAAAATCGAAGTCAATTGAGGGTAAAAATTATTTTTTTATTTTTGTAAAGAACTTTTAGTATTTCGAAGTTGTTGTGGGACTCCTTCGGGGTGAGCTTCAAGCTACCATCCTGAAGAAGACCCATACAATAAAAGCGAAACGATATTAATTTTTACTCTCAATTGACTTTGGTTTCTAAAATAATCTTTCGAGAATTTAAAGGCATATATTACATTTTGTGACCTTGGGCTAATAAAACCATAATAAACAAATTCTAAAACAAAAGTTTTAACAATTGTTTTTTCAACAATTGCATTCCAAGAACTTATTGCTGGCCGTTAAATTTTAATAGGTTTTATTTCTATGTATTTTATTTTTCTTATTATTTTTCATTCGTAAAGCTCAAATGATGCAAAAATACCGAGCGTCTTACATTTTGTATTTATTAATGAGCACCAATACTAATATGTCGCAGTCGGCCATGCTCTACAAAAGTTAATTAAAACATAGGTAAAAAAAAAACAATCGCGTTATTTAACTGACGAACAATGCCATTGTAAATTGTATTTGTTGCGCGCAGGTCGTTAAATTCAAAATGGGAATGGTAACTCAAAACAGGATCGGATTTATGAAAAAAAAGATGGGCTAAAAGTCAAATATAAAGTGTTCATTTTTCTGTTTTCTTCTTGAAATATTAGTATGCTCGTTTCGTTCTTGTTGTCGTTTCCTACCGTAACCTAAACTAAATTAGCCTAAGTTGCCTTAGAATCGATTACAAAGTTACAGTAGGATGCGACAGGACGAACGAAGTGACTATTGTCGTAGTCTTGTCCCTTCTTTTGTTTGCAGCAATGTAAACCGCTAAAAAAATCTTTTTTGGGTTGAAGTGGATCTTATACATATACGATACATGTGTGTACATGTGACCTAATTATATGTGCAAACTAAATTTATAATTAATTTTTGTATTTTACAATTAAGTATCTTTTAATGAGGGACGCTATTGTTAAGAAATAGCAAATGTCAACTCAAAACAAATGAATATCACTTAAAATACTGTTTTCATATGTTTACTTGTCATATTTATACATTTATGCATTCATATAAGTACATGTCTGTAAATGTGTACATACATGCATGATTGTATGCGTCATCTTTTCAACGGTGTTCCCATGATTATAAAACAAAATACACACATCCACCTTTTGTTGTTTTCTTGGCCCAAGGTACACACCATAACTATATCTTGTTTTAACTCCTCGTTATTATGTACACACTTTTTTTTTGCCATTCTCGTCGGTGAATACATCGCGATGTCTTTGCTTGTTTCAGTGCTGGAAAGAGACAGCTTGGATCGAATGCTTTAGCAAGGTAAGAAGAAAAACAATCTTTTAGGTAGATTTACATAATATATGTTTAAGTACTAGTTTATTATGTTGATTTTTTTTTAATTAATTAATGTATTCACTTAGCTGACGTAACTGCTTAAATATTTTTTTTTGTGAAAATTAATATGTTCTTATGCCTTGTTTTGCATTAGATGATATTAATTGTCTAGGTAATAAAATTCAAAGGTTTAATGTTTCAACTTTTAAGCAAGATTTGGTACGAAATTAACATATTATAAGTTTTTTCAAATGGAGTTAGATTATACCGTATGCACCTATGAAACATAGGTTGTCTGACGTTTATTTACTTGTAAAACATTCCACATGAATGCACGCTCATACTTAGGATTGTTTCGATTACTAATTTCGCTTGGTGTATGTACAGTACCGATCAAAAAAAATTTGTTACAATAATAATAAATAATAGGTGTCATTCTAAAATAATAATAATATTAATAGGAATAGTTGTTACTACCTGTGTCTATTATTATAATTTTTTTTCTTTGTTCTACAGCCAACTGTACCGCAGTTCGAGTTTCAACTCCTCGGGCCGTAGCAGTACCTGCGACACCGCTGATGATATGTACTCGGACGCGTCCCTCGAAGAAGACGTCCTCGATTTGAACCACAAGGTAGGGAACAAACTGTACATTGATTTCGTTTCGTGTGCCTATAAAGTATAGCTCGACTTTTATGCCATGCCTTTGTCCATGAATAGGAGTTGCCGGTATTCGTTTATGTAACGCATTAAGTCACGATTTTTTAAGGAATATATAATTAATATACCGGCAAGACAAATAGTTCACTGAACATACAAGTTGTACAAAGAAATGTACAATTTTTTGCTGTACCTGTATAAATACTTAATAATTAATACAGTATCGTTCAGAAAATTTGGATGACATGCCTGGGTATATGTAGTGTTTTTTTTTTGCTGCACTTTTGTTTTTAACAAAAGAAAATTGTAAACAACTATTTGTTTTGCAAACATTGTTTTATAGTCCGTTTGCTTTTGTTTTTTCTTAGCGTATTATTAAGGTTGTAGGTGATTGTTTTAATTTTATTCTTTTATCTCGTATCATTAATCGACTGTAGACTTTTATTATTGTTCAAACGATACACTCACATACCGCATTATTTTCCTACAGTATCAAAATCTGTCGGGTGTAACCGTGAAATGTGAAATACAATCTTCGTCCACAACCATGAAGCACATTCGTTGGTTTTTTTTTGAATTTTATTCTTTATGCATATCGTGAAGGTGTTATAAGTATATGATATGTTTTAATGGTTCCATTTTCTGGTGCCCTTGGAACAGATACCATATTACATGTCTACATGTAACGAAACATCTAATACCATTCTCATAAACACGAATACCTCGAAAGCAATACTAGAAATAAATTTACAATAAGAACAGGTCGAGTTATTGATCAGTAACTTATCGATATTAGTTACACTTAAGCAGTTTTGATCACCACCCACATATTGCTACAATTTCTAAAAGAAGACCTTCCGCCCTACCCTTCGGCTTTGCGCTAGAGTGTAGGTCGAAGGAATTGACTGCCCACGAGCTTTAGCAGCTGTTATTTATTATTGTAGGCATCGTAATTTCCACGAATTAAAGTTTTAAGAATTTTTACGTGGTGCCGGGTTTTGTGTAAGACATGATAATGAAAGACAAATAATTTATTACCAACTGCATTGAATGCTAAGTAAGTACCGCCAACAAACGACTTCTGTTAGTTGCACAACGTAATTAATGAATTTCAAAAACATCATCCAACGCCTACTCATGGGTGTAGAACCTGAGTAGGTAATAGAAAGCTGTAAAACAAATTAAAAATTGCTGGAACATTTTTTTTCTGTTTATTCTGTGGCTGTTTTCGTGATGAGTTCATATGCAGAAAAGTCGACCCCTGGCGGTTTTCTGATTGTGCTGTGGCCACCCTTGTGAATAAATAGTGCGTGCATGTACGTGTTTGCTGTTTGTGTGTATGAAAATGCGCTTTAATAGATCTATCCGGCTCGAAGGACCAAAATGTTTTCGTGTTCGAACGCTTTCACTGTAAGCTGTTTTGCTTGAAAAAGCCATCTTTTGTAGGGAATTGGATGATAACAGCTTGTAGGTAGATATTAGGGGAAAATAATTAGAAACGGTTAATTTTTGGGCGATTTATACATATGTATATGTATAAATATTTTGTTGTTATACGTAAAAATGACCCGACCCTTTTATGCTCTCAACCTAAATGACTTGACACATTTGATGACTAAAATAAAATATCATATCGTTCTATAAATATTAGCTTTGTGGAAAACGAAACGTGTTTTGAATTCTTTCCAAATCGTTGCTTAATGAGTAGTGTACAGTGTACATAATATATTACGTACATATGTCAAATATAAATAAATAAATGAAATCCGCTTTTGGATATATTTTTTTTAATTTAGCGAACCTAATTAATTTATTTTATGTTGCTGTAACGAACAACTCGCATTGTAAATTTTTAATGTTCTATTTTTAATTGCAATTAATTATGTCACTAACAAGCACATAAATTGTTTGAATTTTTGGTCATCCTTTTTACGACTTACATAGCTAGGTACCTGCCCGATGATTTAACGTGATTGTATTTCATAAATATTTTGCTAATTACACTCTATTATAATGTACAGTACTTTGCAAAATATTCGTCGACGTTTTTAGCCGTAACATATCGCATAATACAAGGTGTCCCAAGAATAACTAACTTAAATTTTATTGGAAGTCTCGCTTAGAATCGTAAATAAAAAGTCGACTGGACTATTTTAAAATCCAAAAAAATGGTAAAGATCTAGGTGATGGCCCCCACACCCGAAGGGGGATCGAAAGAGGAGGTCTTCCCCAATACTGTAAATATTTATATAGTCATTCTTAAACAATATTCAAAGGTAAAACTAATGGAAAAATACATAAAAATATTGAGAAAGTTATATAAAACATTATTTAAATATCTTTATCAATAGGGTAGGTTAGGTTAGGTTATCTGGTTTTGTTCAAGTGACCACCCTCTTTCGAGCCCCCACCTCCACCCGCTTGAAAAAATTTTTTTATTGAATTTTATTTGAATTATAGTGTATGAAAATTGTCAGAATAATCAATTTTCAACTCCCATGCCTTTTTATAGGGGTGAGACCGCCGCAAATTTTTATGGGGTTTTACTCAGGTGACCACCCTCTTTCGATCCCCCTTACCCCCACCCCATCTAACCCCCATAACTTTTTATGGTACAGTGGTGGGGGAGACCTCCTCTTTCGATCCCACCCCCTTCGGGGATGGGGGCCATCATCTAGACATTTACCCAAAAAATTAATTTCATATTCGCGCCCAAGTCCCGTATTTTTTATCAAGTACTGTACATCCGCCCGAAACTATAATATTATTCATGAATAATGTGTACGTTCGCGCATACCCACATGTCGTGCGTTTGCATGTGTGGCGATTGTTTATTCACCGAATAACTGCACACAAACTTGAAAATACAATAAATACAAGTCTTATTATAAATTTTTATTGCATACTTAAGACTTACACTATCGGGCGCAAGTCGGGTCCCCTATCCGAGAAACTTCCTCTAGTTTGAAAACAGTCGCGTTTTTTTCATTCGCTGCGCCTCATGTACAATTATTTATTATTGGCCATGTGTGTAAACGTTGTACGTGTGTGAATGTGTTTATCTGTTGCTAATGACGTCAGAGCCGTTGCGGCGATCAAGTCAGTTGCCGCGTAAGGTCTGTGGAAGAAAGTATTGCGCGGCGCGGAAAGGAAATTAACTTTGCGTTGTCTTGTTCTTCTATCAGAGCAATCAGTAACGAGTTATCTCTTTTTATGAGAGGAAGTGTAAAGTACAAAGCAAGTCGTACCAAGCACAGCGTAATATGACAGAATACCACCCTGGATTTTGTAGACGTTTCGCACCGGTTTAGTGTCCGTTTCAAAGTGCAGGTGTTCTTATTGCGCCTGGGGTGTAAACGGTGCAGCCTCGTGGGTCGCCGGTGCAAAGAAAGTTTGGGGGTTTGCAAAAAATAAATAAATCGATCGAGTACGGTCCTGGTTTCTTGGAATAATTGTGGTATTATTCGCGTGGGGTAAATGGGTAAATACTATCCACACTTGTTTGTTTGCAGCTATATATGTGGTCCAAGTTTTTAGACAAAGGTCTTATCAGTAAGAGCCAAATTTAGATATTTCTGGATTTATTATCAGATACAATGATATACTCAGTTTATGTATATATGTTTATAAACATTTGCAATGATGTATATTGATGAATTTTTTGTTGCAATTGCTGCACCTAATTATTTTTATATATATTTTTTATATACTCGAAATGATCATGTACATTAATTTTGACGGGTACTGTAGATAGATATTTATTCTGAGTTTATGAAGTGGTTTATTGGTATTTTTATTCGTAGTGTTTCGTTTGAACACCGTTGACGTCACTGGTCTTTTTGATTCACCATTCATTCAAATGATAAATTTCTCAAATGGTATCTCATACACTAAAAAGAGCACAGGATGTGTTTACGACAGCACATTAAAAATTGCATGATTGGAGTTCATAATATAATTTATAATTGTATTATAATTTGAACTTTTAGGCTTCGCTGTATTATCTTCACTGAAGCATTCGTTACTTGTTTTTTTTTTTTTAAATACTTAAGTTTACTTAATACGTTTACAAACAAAAGGGCTATTATGGGATTAAAAGTTACGAAGAAATCCCTTTTTGATTTGACGAACGCTTTGAAAAATTGATTACGTTTATGTTGTATCGTTTTTGCGTTAATTTGTTATCATGAACGACAACTTTTGTGGGCATTTATCAACAACTTGACACGTTTTTAACTTCCTGTCAAACCGGAAACGCGACGCGTTAATATTAATTTCTTCTCCAACTTTCGCTTGTATGCACCCGTGTATTTAAATTTCTTTTTATATAAAAAGTGTTGTCATTTGAAGATAATGTCCTTAAATTACAAGCATTGTTTGAAAACTTTTTTTTTACATAAACAAGCATTCTACAGAACTTCTATGTTCAGTGAATATTTTGCCTTACCTGTATATCGAATGTACAGTTATAACAAAAAAAAGTGCCAGGAAGTGATATTTGCTAGTATAGGTGAATTGTGTAGTAAAAAACATACATTCGTAAATATAAGGTAAATTCCTTTTATATTTAGGTTTAGGCGATTCATTAATGAGTAAACCACGTAGACAAGTTTCATGCGACCGAACTCCTTTTAGTTCGTTTATATTATTAACTAGGGAATAAATTGGTCGTAATTTACACGGTAATTGCTTATAATGAGTACGTGAAAATTATCAGTGCCGTTTTTGCCATTACCGTCCTGTTCAAGTTAGAAATGAAATCTATGAAACCAGGCTAACCGACAGGTTAATCGATACCTAAATTACTCTTATTAAATGGTTTCCATTTTTTTTTACAGAAATTCATGATAGTTTATGAATGATATTTTTAAATAACATATATGAAAATATGGTACAAATGTTCTTATACCATCCCATTAATAATAATTGCGTATAGCAGAATAATATTAAGTTCGGCAATAAACTTGCCATTAGTGTATACGAAAATTCGAGTTGAAATATTATAACTTTTTTAATTTGTTATTTATATTCAATTAGAATTGTTTATGGTGACATTTTGAAACAAATCTTATTAAGTATTAATAACAATCGCAGTTTTTATTGGTCACCTCTAAAAGAAACATCTTCAAGTATCTATTTAAA